GAAGCAACCCCATCACCCGTCAGGAGATAATGAACTGTGGTATCACCGGGAAAGAATACACCCTCCTGGGAAGGAAGGGAGGCCGGCGTGACACCACCAGGGCTGATCTACAAAGACTGTGCCAAGCGAAATAAGCCAACTACAAATAAACGCTGCCTCATTTGACCTTCATGAGGTTATCAAAGGAGTCAAGATCACAGAACTCGACCTCGAATGAGAGCTGCCAAGGGCAGCGGGTTGGGGGGAGAATTAGTTCCAAATGAACACAGTTTCGGTTTTATAAGATGTAAAGTTCTACATCTGTTGTACAAAACGGTAAACCTTCTTTAATATGGCTAATAAAAAATATTTTTGCAGTGCTGTGAACTGAACCCAGGATCTTGCACATGCTTTACCACTGGGATACATCCCCAGCAAAAGCTGTACATATTCTTAATACTCTGAGTACTGAGAAATAATTAAGAGCAAGTCAATTCAATCCTATGGGTCTTTCATCACAATGAAAATTAAATAAAACAAATTAACTCCCTTAAAAAAAAAAAAAGACCTGACCTTGCAGCACTATTCACAATAGCCAGAATCTGGAAACAACCCAAGTGCATGAGAACAGATAAGTGGATAAAGAAACTATGGTACACCTACACAATGGAGTACACAATGGAATACTACGCAGCTGTTAGGAAAATATGAAGTCATGAATTTTGCTTAAATGTGGATGGACATGAGAGTATCAGGGTGTGAAATGAGTCAGAGGGAGAGAGACTAAGCTAGGATGATTTCACTCATTCGTGGGCTGTAAAGAAACACAGAAGGAGAAGAAGACCCAAAGACAATGGAAACAAAGGCTGGGGGGACTGGTCCTTAGTAGAAAGCCAGCCACAATGTGGGTGGCCAGTCACAGAAGGGACCGCCACGACAATGATAGTGGGAAGCGATCACTCTGGGCTAGAGCTGGGTGCCAAAAGGAGGGAGAGTGATATGTGTGATACCCTCTCAGTAACAATACTGCAAACCACAGTGCCTGAAAGGAAACAGAGAGAGAGAGGGGGGGGGGGGGGGGGAGGGAGGAGGGAGGAGGGAGAGAGAAGAAAAATGTGTACCATGGAGTCAGGCTGTGGGGGAAGTAGGCAGTAGGTCGGGGGAGGGACAGGTGGGAGGGAACTGGGGACAATGGAGGTGGGAAATGTTCACTGGTGAAGGGATGGGTGTTGGAACACTGTTATGACTGAAACTCAACCATGAACAACTTTGTCGCTGTATATCTCGCGGTGATTCATTCAATTAAAAAATAAGCTTTGAACAAGATCATTTGTAACAATAATCTGTAGTTCTATATTCCATGTATTAATGAAAAAACATAGTCTTTAAGAAAAAAAAAAGTAGGAAGACAGGCCAGAGAGAGCCCAAGGGGCTTAGACACACATTTGCATGCAGGAGGCCAGGCTCCATCAATGGCCCCTCACGCCCTCCCCTGCACCCCAAGGACCACCAGCAATGACCCCACAGCACAGAGCCAGGAGGAGTCACAGATGACTCAAAAATCAAAAAGAAAAGAAGAGAAGGAAAGGAGGGCAGCGGGCACTAGGGCAAGGGTGAGAACACCAAGCTCTGGTACGTGACCCGCCACCAGCATCCACAGCCAAGACTGTCTGCGATTCACACTTATCACAACTGTCACAACAACAAAGGAAAGAGATGGACAGAGAAAGAGAAAAGGAGAACTCAGTGATACCTGTAAGAAATAGCGGAGAAGAGGAAGTAAAGCTTCTTCTGGGCATAACTACAGTTCATTTATTAAACCAACGTTCACGGAGCATCACCAACACGGGAGGTCCCTGTTGCAGGGGTCTGTGACGGGAACAGGGATCCTACTTCACGCACGTCTCCATTCCCACCGGGAGAGCAGCCCACTAAGTAAGTCCACGGACTGCTGCTCTCAGGGGCTCCTGGCATTCACATGGCTGCGGAGCTCTGCCCCCCCACCCTGTGAGTGTGTGTTTGTGTGTGTGTGTGTGTGTGTGTGTGTGTGTGTGTGTAGACAGCAAAAGTGATGAGAGACCATTTCTGGGCCTCCCCCTCACTCTCTCATTCTCCCCTCCACGCCCCACCCCCAGACTTGCTTGCTCTGGGGAAGCCAGTGCCACCTTGTGCAGTGGACCATGAGAAGTAACGAAGGGGAGACGGAGCCAACCCACAGTGAGCCCTGACTTGAGTGAATCCCCTGGTGGACAGCCCGCAATCACGTGAGTGTGAGGAGAAGGGGTCATTCTCCAGGAGAGATGAGCACAGCCCGGCCTGATCCTGACGCAGACGCCTGCACAGACTCCAGACTGACACCAGGACTTTAAGGGTGTGCTCTGAAGCCATTACCCTGCGGGGGACCACTTCATGCAGTGCCACTTTAACTACTATAGTATGCTCGCTATATGGGCTATTTTTTAAATGCACAGAAAAGAAGCTGAAGCCGGACCGGAGAGATAGCACAGCGAGTAGGGCATTTGCCTTGCACACGGCCGACTTGGGTTCAACCCCCTGCATCCCACATATGGTCCCCCAAGCACCGCCTGGAGCAATTCCTGAGTGCAGAGACAGGATAACCCTGAGCATCACTGGGGGGGGGGGGGGGGGGGGGAGGAGGAGGAGGAGGAGGAGGAGGAGGAGGAGGAGGAGGAGGAGGAGGAGGAGGAGGAGGAGGAGGAGGAGGAGGAGGAGGAGGAGGAGGAGGAGGAGGAGGAGGAGGAGGAAGAAGAAGAAGAAGAAGAAGAAGAAGAAGAAGAAGAAGAAGAAGAAGAAGAAGAAGAAGAAGAAGAAGAAGAAGAAGAAGCAGCAGCAGCTAGAGCCATAGTACAGCAGGTAGGGTGCTTGCTAGGCAGACGGCCGATCCAGGTTCAATCCCTGGCACCCCCTAAGGTCCCCTGAGGACTACTAGGATTGAGCCCTGAGAGCAGAATGGGAAGTGAGCCCTGAGCACCACAGGGTGTAGCCCAAAGAGAAACAAACAAGTGAAAATGTAAAGGAGAGAATGTGAGTAATAACTTTGAAAGGGGAGTTACAGATATTTAAGACATAAACAGTCTACAGAGGTATTCTGTAACCCAAAAATCTATCAACTGGTGAGTCACTATCACTGTCACCGTCTTCCCATTCATCGATTTGCTCCAGAGGGCCCAGTAACATTGTGAGGCTTGTTGTTACTGTGTTTGGCATATCAAATACGTCACAAGTAGCTTGCCAGGTTTTGCCGTGCGGGCGAGATACTCTCAGCAGCTCACCAGGCTCTCCGAGAGGGGCAGAGGAATTTAACCTGGGTCGGCCAGGTCGGCTGTGTGCAAGGAAAACGCCCTACCCACTGTGCTATCTCTCCAGCCCCAAATGGTGAGTACATTATCAAATAGAATATTATTTGGCCACAAAGAGAAACCAAGATCCAAAGTATGCTACAACATGGATAAACTTAAATAATGCTCATTGGGAAAAGTCAGTCACAGAGAAACCATATAGTGTGTGATTGTGTTATATAAAATGTTCAGAAAAGGTCGTCATACAGTAGTTCAGTGGCTAACGGGGGCTGTGGGCAGAAACAGAATCAATCGTAAATGGGCATTAGGAGATCTTAATAGAAGGGTTGGAGTGACATACAGCAGGTAGGACATTTGTATTGCATGCAGACCACCAGGTAAGATCCCTGGCATTCCATTTGGTTCCCTGAACACCACCAGGAATAAATAAAAGACAGGATTAAGTTAAATTAACATCAAAAATACATAAATAAAAACAAAAACAAAACTATCTTAATGGAATGATGGAACCATTCTTAAAATGGATTGTCCTAATGGCTACTCAACTTCGCAAATTTATTAAAACTCATTAAAGGATTCACTTAGGATGGGTGAATTTACAGTATATAAATTTCATCTGGAAGTAGGGGGTCCGACAACACCTGAATGTGCTCGGAACTTCTTCCTGTCTCTGCACTTAGGGACACTCCAGAGATACTCAGAAGACCCTATGGGGTGCTCGGGATCATACAATACCCTCCCCACTGTACAATCTCTCTGGCCCCCAAATCTTCCAATGAAGATGCATTGGCCATGGAAATATCTAGAAAAAATGCCAGACAACAACAAAAAAACCAAACCTCATTCAAATATCGTGGGAGAACAGTGCGTGTGCCCCAGCCCAGCGGAGAGGCAGGAAGGCAGGACATGGGATGGGGACAGAAGTGGTGATAGCTGGATGACAGATGGCGGCATCAGGTGGAGATTCTGGATTATATCTTAGGGGGCACACAGAGGTGGATGAAGGGTCTGGTAGAGATGACCAGAACCTATCTTGAAAGGATCACACTGGGCTGAAGTACAGCGAGTGAGGCGCCTGCCCTGCACATAACCGACCCGGGTTCGACCCCCCAGTACTCCATCTGGTTCCCCAAGCACAGCAGGACTGATCCCTGAGAGCAGAGGCCAGGAGTAAACCATGAGCACCGCTGGTGTGGCCCAAACACACACACACACACACACACACACACACACACACACACACACACAGAGAGAGAGAGAGAGAGAGAGAGAGAGAGAGAGAGAGAGATCACATATATAAGGAAGTTACATAAAGAACTAGCAAAGGCTAGTTCAAGGCTCCATGTGCGCATCTCCCTTCGGAGTATGGAGAAACCTGTCATCTCATGGGGTGGCCCTCGAGCCCCACCCAGCCCCCACCAAGAGAACCCCCAAGGGGCCTTGTTTGATGTGCTGGCCAGTAGGCAGCACCCAGACTCGGAATACCCAGGGAGGGGGTGTGAGAGCCCAAACCTCACACTTCCCAGACGGCACCTTCGAGAAACCCAGGGGAACAAAGACACTTCACAGCTCTTTCCGGTTCCGGTTCCAAATCAGGAAGGGGACTGGGGCAAGCTCCACCTTCGGCACGTACAGAAGAGACACCGGACGGGCCGTGGCTGGCACAGGTGACGGTGTTCCCCTTCTCCGCAGACACCTTACCCAGTTGTTCTTCTTCCCGGCGTAGATTTCCATGTTCTCTCCGTACTGAGGTTCTTCCAGCAGCGTCTGGTACTCGAACATGAGGCGGGAGCTCTCGCGGAGGCGGCTGCACTGGAACTGGTGGTACTGTTGGACCAGCTCCTTCACCACCAGCAAGAGGCATTCGGGATTCGAAGGGTTCCAGGAAGCGAGGTTCTGCAGAAGCCAAAAAGAAAAGGCGAGTCTGAAATGAATTTTCATGCAAACCCGGCACCACTTGGGCGCAGCAATACGGGCGGGGAGAGTGACAACATCTAGGAACAGACTATTCTTAATTAGAGATCGACTGAACGCTGAATTTGGACGCGCCTTTCGGGTTTGGGGACGGCTCCTGTGTTCTCAAACTCCATGTGGAAGACGAAGACGGAATTCCATCACGAGTAGGCAGAAAAAGTTAAGTATACAGCAGAAATGCACTCAAAGAGGAAATCTAAATATTCCAGGAGACGTTCAGATTTTAGCTCCTGAAGACTAAATTTCTTATTCTTTCATAATTTGATTTTTTTTTGAATCAGCACCTAAAATTAGCATTCTAGTCTAACTCATTTGACTAGAGCCATAGAACTTCTGTATCTGTAACACCAGATATAAATAAATACTCTGTAAACACTAGTACTCCAGAGGAACACGAGTCAAATGGTAGCGGTTCACCCGGGGGGTGTGAGGGGACAGGAACAGAGTCCAGATGAGGGAAAGTACAATTGGGAAACAAGGTTCAGAGAAAACGAGAAGGAAATGGTTGTAAAACGTCAGAACCAGAAAAGGAGCAAGAGCAAAGGTAAAACGAAATAGAGTCTTTTCAAGTTCTCATTCATTCAACCAGAACTCATCAAGGGCCCATAATGTACAGGATACAACTCTAGCAACAGTAAAACGGTCACATTCTAACATTCAGGGACTGCAAAAAATGTAATGAATCAAAATGAAAAAGATTTATTATGGTGACATTTATTCTGGTTAAAAAAAAAAAACCCTACTGAGAAAAATACAGCAGGAACCCAGGAACCTGACAAAGCGTGAGCTTCAAGGGGAAGAAAAGATAAAAAAAAAAGGATGAGCTTGGCCCAATGGTGTTAAGAGGAACAGGACGAGATCTGAGGTCTGACGATGGGTCCAGGAATATCAGGGTGACGGTATCCTCAGCAGGTATGACCAAGGTGAAATAAAGGCAAGATTATCTTGGCTTAAAGAGAGAAAGGGCAGAAAGAAACTGTAGGAAAGGCCTGGAGTGATTGCACAGCGGGTAGGGCATTTGCCTTGCATGTGGCCAACCCGGGTTCAATTCCCAGCATCCCATATGATCCCCTGAGCACCACCAGGAGTAATTCCTGAGTGCAAAGCCAGAAGTAACCCCTGTGCATCACCAGGTGTGACCCAAAAAGCAGAAAAAGAAAAAAGAAAGAAAGAAACTGGGGCTAGAGCGATAGCACAGCGAGTAGGAGGTTTGCCTTGCACGCGGCCGACCCGGGTTCGATTCCCAGCATCCCACAGGGTGCCCTGAGCACAGCCAGGAGTGGTTCCTGAGTGCAGAGCCAGGAGTAACCCCTGTGCATCACCAGGTGTGACCCAAAAAGGAAAGAAAGAAAGAAAGAAAGAAAGAAAGAAAGAAAGAAAGAAAGAAAGAAAGAAAGAGAAAGAGAGAAAGAAAGAAAGAAAGAAAGAAAGAAAGAGAAAGAGAGAGAGAAAGAGAGAAAGAGAGAAAGAAAAAGAAAGAAAGAAAGAAAGAAAGAAAGAAAGAAAGAAAGAAAGAAAGAAACTATAGACAGCTAGTGCAGAGAATTCGAGGGAAAGTAGAGGGAGGTGTACGGCTAAGTGAGGGAAAGGTCTGCTCAGCTGTCCAAGTACAGAATGTCCCTGTCGAGAGGCGGACACGTGACAGTGGGAAGAGAAAGGGAAAGAACAGCAGAAAAGAAGGTACACAGAGAGGGAGCTCCACGGGGGCTGGCCCTAAGGGGGAGCACAGAGCTCACGCCCGAGCTGGAGGCAAGGTCAAAGTCAGTGAGGAGGGATGAGGGGAAAGAGCACTGGACACTGAGAGAGAGTGTGACCCCAGGGTCCGAGGGGAGGGGTGCCGCAGAGACCCCAGCGAGGGGGAGGGGTGCCGTAGAGGTCCCAGCGAGAGGCCCACTGTGGTGAGAGTGTGACATGTCACCAGCACTCACACTTCTGCTTGGGGCTGACAATGTTTCACGCCACACCCAGCACCAAGTGGCCGCACCCCTCCTACTGTCCCCAGGTCTCTTTTTGTCCGCTCCCTTCCTCTGATTTCCGCGCGAGACCAGTGAATATAAATTCCACTGCCTGGATGCAAATGCATTAAGAGGAGGAATTTAAATCGACTATTAGCTGGGAGGCAGCAGATATTAGAGGGCTGGCAATGGAAAGACTGCCACTGTGGACCGTGGCGTGGAGGCCAGGAAGAAGCCAAGTTCCTAAGGGAAGTGAGAGTTGGTGAAAGGCGGGTGAAGGCCAACAGACAACAGGCCTCAGTGAACAGGAAGGATCGTTGGAGTTGGTGCAGGCAGCCGCCCCACCCCCACACCTTCAGAAGCCCGGGGCAGCCTCACCCACATGCCGCCGCCATGGAAGCTCATCAATCAGCCCAGAGCCTCGGATTAAATCTCAGAAGTGATCAACTAGCCACAAAAATTTCTCCAATACACTGGTCCCCTGAGGGAAACTTCGGAGGGAACCAGCTACTATTCAGGTCTCCCAAAGAAGAATAGAAAGAGTTATGCTTGGAATATCACGTTTCACTCAAATGAGAGAAAGAATCCAGAGTTCTGACATCCGTCGACGATCAAGAATCAGGGATGCTGTCTCATATGCCAAGGTGTCGAAAATCAGATGGGCTGGTCACATAATGAGATTTAAAGACGACCGTTGGACTAGAGCTGTTACCGACTGGATTCCACGGGATGTCAAAAGACCGCGTGGCCGCCCACCTTCCAGATGGTCAGACTTCTTCATCAAGATCATGAACGATCGGTTTGAGGCCCTTCATGTTCCCAGAGCAAACAGATGCCATTGGGCTACACTAGCACGCGACAGGGACAAATGGAGACGTTACTGGCGCCCGCTTGAGCAAATTGCCGACTAACGGGAAGTTAAGTGATTAAGTGAAGTGACACTGGTCCCCAGATGAGAACTTCAGGATGCCCTTGGGAAGGGGAGGGGGCAGATGAAGTCCCTTGATCTGCCAAAGCCCCTACAGCTGCACTCACACCCCAACAGCTGCTGCCAAGCCAATGGCTGGACTCCACCACCTCACGACTAAGCTTCGCAGAGACATCAAACTGCGAAAAGTTCAGGTACACTGGGGTTTTTTTGGCTGACAACTCCAGCCTTCTCGGAATGGAGAGCAGACAACCCACCTCCCCACCTCTCCATACCTCCAGAAGCCCCGGCAGCCACACCCACATCCCACAACTAATTTTTTGATACGTCCATAAGCCAGTTAGTGATAACATAAACATAAACAAGCAATATAAACCAATTATTTGGGGCCTGCTATGGGGACAGGCTTGAGTGGTGGCTGGGAAAATGGCGACAATGGTGGAAGGAAGGTCACAATGGTGGTGGGATTGAGGTTGGAATATTGAATGCCTGTATCAAATGCATCGTGAACAACTTTGCAAACGATGATGTTTAAATAAAGTGAAAAATAAAAGACAGAAAAATGGTCAGAGTTGATATGCTAACCTAAAAGATAGGAGGTGCAATCACAGAACGGTGTGTTTGTAACTGAGCTGAGTGAGATACTCAGCAAACAAGTGTGGGACCCCAACAAGGCGTGTGTCAGAGTTGCTGAGGGGGAGCTGTAGAGGTAAGCACTGGAGCCAAAGAAGTCGGGGGCTGGGAGACAGCGTGCTTGAAGGATTATTCAGGGAAAACTTAAATTGCCTGGAATCAAGAGAAGAATCACAAGGGATCAAAGAGCATGTGTTGAATCCTTGAGGCGCCTAACCAATAACAATGAAGGAGGGGAGGGACAGGTCCCATGCCCTGACAGCCAGAATTTCAAAACTGGAGGGTGCGGGGCAGCGCAAAGAAGAAAACAATTTCCTCTGCAGCAGTAAAAAGCAAGGCACTACCTACCACCCCTCTCCCCCAGGCATAAGTTGAGGAGTGTGAGGGAGAGACCAGCTACTCTCTGGGAACACTGGGAGGTAAGACAGAATCTCAAAGCATAAAGCCAGGCTTTAAACTAGCATACTTCACCTGAAATCACCTAGAGACCCTTAAAAATAAGGACATTTGGGCCCATATTCTAGTGTAAGTGGAGAATTAGTGTATGTCTTATGTACTATATTGTCGTGCATTTTTATTAAAGCTCCACGGGGGTTCTAATGTGCAGGAAAGGTTGAAGACAGAAGGAAAAAGAGTCAGAGAAGGTACTGAGAATATCAAGAGCTTTGCTGATAACAGAACATGCAAATCCCCCCAAACATCCAATCTCAAAAATATCTAGAAATTAGCATCCACTTAGGAAAATGCAAATACATCACAATGCCCAAAGGGTGAAAACTATGTCATTTTCAGAGTTCTATGTAAATCCTAATAACTTTTTATATGATTAAGTCAATCTTTATGATGACCATTTACATATTATATCGCTGATTTGGAGGAAGTGTGCAGAGGGACCAGAAGGAAGGGCCAAACCTCTCGTGGATCAGATTTAACCCATTAATTTGCATATGTGATCCTAATAGTTATCTTACACACCTCATTTACATGAGGGCAGATGAGAGCACCTTACATGCCCATCTTAAGGTCAAGTGCGACTCTCATCCTCCAGATTTTATTTGCATATGGGCACATGATGTTATCTTAGAGCCCACCTAAGGGCATGTGTCATATGACTGGTCCTCCCACAATCAACCCACGCTCTCATTTGCATATTCAACCAGACTGGCTCTTCCAAGCAGATGATCTCTCACGGTGTGACCAATGAGACAGTTGAAGGTAAGGATAGGGACGATAGAGAAACCCAGGTCACCACGGAACTAAGCCCCCTTTCTTCACAGCTTCTGCCCCAGCACCCTGCTGCTGCCTGTCTGCCTGCAGTGACACACAAACTTGAGCTGTTAACTACGGAACCGTAACACAGAAGGGCTCCAGCGGTCAGCTTGGTTAAGTTAACAAGTTGCTCACAA